GATTAATGTTAAAATCGTCTTCAATCCTAAGTACCTAGGCCTCAAGGTGAAACACGAATCACTGCATGGAAAATGCACGACTTCAAGTTTAGAATTCATTGAAACAAACTATTTAAAAACTCAACTTTTTGAAACTAATCGAGGCTTTTAAATGCAGATTAAACAAACAGGTTTCTAGTCAGGTGAACTTAGAATAATTTTTGAATAATTGCACCCCCTGAAAATTAACTGTTATTCTATCAAAACATTTAGTAGTCACCTCTGTCATAATCATAATATGTACTCCAAAATTTTGATTTTTCATAAAAATTTGATTCAGTTCAGTCGGAAACTTTCTTACATGTATATTTAGGAGCAATTATAATCAGATAATTTATGAGCCTTAAACATATATTCATGTGTTATTAAGAACTCTATCCAAATGAAAAAACTGTTCACGAGTTCCTGTACCAGTAATCTAGGGTAAGTTGTTAATCACGGTTTGTTACCTCTGCGATTCAAGAATAGCGCCTGTTGTTTTATTCATTATTAAGTGATTAATTGTATAGTTTTTATCTTTATAAGAAAACCCTTAAGTTCAATAAACCAGGGGCTCAATGCTCTCTTCAAACAATTCTATTACTTTATTCTCTTATATAAAATATTAACATTACAAGAAGGGTTGTTCCAAAAAGTAAGTTCAGGGTCTTATTCCTTCAAAACTATCAATGAAAAGAGGATGTTTCTGTGTTGTTCTCAGCTACCTAACAAGCTGAAGAAGTTAAAAATCAGCCCTCTAAACTGCTGAGAGATTCCATTTTATTCATTTTATTGGACCGACCTCTTCCTTGAGTACTTAGGTGTAAAAACGAAGATCTCTGAATCTGTATTTTTTGGGTGCTTTTCTACATTCTGCGGCAATTTTTCAGAATTTGGTGTTTAAGTTTTGTTAATTAAGTGAGGAAACCATTGTAGAAAAATAATTATTTTTCTTGCAGATAGAGAGAAAAAAGAGTTCTTGTACAATGATTTTTTTCACCAAAATAATTCTATTCATCAAAATAGGTACAAAATTTGACTGAAAGACACTCAAGATTCTAACTGTTCTGACACTGATAAATGACTTCATTAAAGATATCGCCTTTACGAAAAATCATTGAAATTAACAATCAACTGTTTTGAAAACAGTATAGTGAAACTTTGTATAGTCTTATTACATAAAGCACAATTCTAAGCTGTGTATAAGAAAATTTCGGAAAATATTCACTTTCTTACAATATCAGCAAACTGTGCTTACAATCACATATCGTCACCTTCTTGCCAAAGCATCACAAGCATCATTTGTGCTTCGGAATTATGTTGCCAAATTTCTTAAACTTTTTCCAATTTTTTTAGCAAAAACTTGTGAACAGCAATTTTAATGAAATTTTAAAAACAAGTTTGCCTGATATTTATTTGGTTATCAACATTAATCCCTCAACTTTCATGAAAGTATGTGCAAAAGTTTTAAGGCAATATTAAAACAGTACTAAGATGTCTGGAGACATAGCGTCGAAGTTCAAATGTTGCTTGAAATACTTTGGTCAGAAGGTGATGATGAGTGACGGGAAAAAATTATCCACTGAGCATGATCAAGGCCATAGCCAATAGAAACCCAGAGGATAAGTCCTGTCTCCAGTGATATCAAAATATGAAGGAAAGTCAACATTGGATCTTTCCAATTCATAAGTTTTCATGAAACTGCTGGTAAAATGTAAAACAATAAAACATTGCTGATGTCATCATCCTCCCCAGCCACATTAAGATTATACACACAAAAAGCTAGCTTTAATTTGAGTTTTAAAAATATTCTAGAGGTTATCTCGTCACCTTCCAGGCAAAGTATCACAAGCGCCATGCGACGTTTAAAAATTTCCGCCGCCATTATATTTTTTAACAGAGAAATTGTTCAACGAAGCTGTCCGAAAATTACACCGAATTTTCTTTGTGCTGCCGATAAAATTTAGTGCAATTTTCGAACAGATTCAACCTACAATTTCTAGATAGAATTTCAAAGATAGAAATCTTAAATTATCATGAAATACCAATACCTTGTATCATAAGGCCCTTTCCTTTAAGGTAAGAGAAGAACTCTGAACTAGAGAAAATTACTTATTTGCAACTTCATGCACTCGATGGCTCTTGGTTCTGTGGGACGGTAGGCTCGATGTTTTCATGGGTGGTAGGTAGCTTGCTGGATACCATATAACCTACTTCATCGCCTTTCTTGGAATAAATTTGGATTGATTTCATACCTATGATCTCTGGGTTCTCTTTCCAAAATTCTTCTCCAATGATATCCACATTGAGGGGGATAATGAACTGTTTCAATTTATTGTCAGGAGGAGTCTGCACTAATTTTCGCACCAATGTAGTACCTTTTCGGAAAAGTGGAGGTTCATTGTTGTAATTAATGTCAAATTCCTTGAAGAGAATTTCGTTTTTGTGAGATGCTAAGGTGTTTTTCAAGCGTTCTTGAGCCTGCAAAAGATGATAAAAAAGACATTAAGTGGACATTTCAATTTCAAAAATTAGCATTGGTAACTAGATCACATCATACCTGCTAAATTAGCATGAATTAAACATAGGCTCCTGCATTTCATACATGGTTCTACCTTTGCAAAAAAAAAAAAACACCTGCAACAAGACGTCTTGTTTTGAAGGAGAGATACTTAAAGAGCAAGATACTTTTCCTACGTTTTTTGCTGCCAAAATTTAATATTTTATTGATGTTAAACAAATTGACAAGACAATGCCTCATCTTCAGGCCAAAAGAAAATAAGAGTGCCTTTACAACCAGAAAGTTTACACTCATGTCAATGTCGCTAGATTATGCAACTTTTCCTTGTTTTTACTCACAATTGTCCTGTGTCCGAAATCCCTCACATTATGAATCTCTGCATACCTAAATATTCAGAAAAATGGAAAGAAAATTTAAGGCAAATTTCAGGACAAAGCCTACAGCTCTCTACCGACTAGACAGTTGAAGGGCTTTTTTTTTATCCGTGGAATGCAATGAATCGGGATCTTTGCGGTTCAGGCTGGTTCAACCAGCCTCAACCCACCTCAGAGGAGCGATCCAAGCGTTCCACTGGAACAGATGAAATGGGCTGGAATGTGGCGGTGGAACAGGATAAGGAAAGATGTGTTCCGTAGCGATCCTCTGAGGTTCGGAAAAAAAAGCCCTTGAATGTACATACAATCTTAGCAACATTAACATGGGTATAAGCTGTTTGGTCAGAAAAGTCCTCCCGCGAACATTACAAAGCGTCTTATGCTCCTATTTGGAAACAAGTAATCCTTAAAAATACAGGTAAAATAGCTGCGTTGTCGATGTAAACTGTTTGGGACCGTTGGGCAGCGGAATTACCCTATTCCAAACGCTCGGCATTGATTGACTCCATTTGGAGTGCCCAATGTCCTGGACTGTTTACCAAACGGAAGTCAACGAGTCATCGGTCTCAGGAGGTGGTTGAGAGCGTTGAGCTAACCTCTAAATGTAATTGTGCACGCAGTGTCACACTAAAAAAAAACAGTTTTCAGTCAACAGAGATGACCGACAACGTGTTTCCCAACGGGTAAATCAACGGTCACATGATATCCGTTAGCGTTGAGCAACCCAACGCAAATGGAAAGTTTACTTCGACAACGCACCTAATAAGTGATGAAAAGTCAAGGGAGATTCAGTCAAACTTACTTGTTGTGGGGTGAGGTTCCCTTTCTTTACTAAGGTCCAGAATGCTGTGTTGTACAAATTGTTGATATGAACATCAGCTTGCCTCCAACTTAGGTAGTCGCGTAAATTAGCATCAGTTGGATATAATACTACTCTAGCATCAAATGCAGGTGGATATAATAATTTCACAAAACCAAAAAAGCTAGTCCAATGAAAAACAAAAGCAGAGGAAAAGAGGCTGTTTACAGTGGACATTATCTTATCCCGTCGCCTGTTGTACAGCTGCGCATCTTTCCGGAAAATGAAACTGTATTCATCACTAGTGCCGAAAGCGAGACTTATTTCCTTTAATTCCTCCATAACATAAGAGGCTGCACGAGTCATTAGTTCCAATGCTCTACGATCATTTGGCTTTTCAAATTTGTGAACATCAGAAAATCGTGTAAAACTTCTTCCGTCTATGCGTACAACTATCCAACAATTTGGTAAGCATTTCCTGTCTTCTTCAAAGCCTTTTACATACTCAAATTTACTCTTTGCCATGACCGATGAGCTAAAGTTTCGTA